TGTAGAATTCATATAAAAAAAATTATTATCAATTTTGATCAAGTAGTTGTTGAGATATCTTTGATCAAAAAAAATTTAATAAAGTCTAAAGTAACCTTTTTCTTTTGGCAGCATTAGTAGAAACCAAGCAAATTGTTTCTAAGATTTTTTTTAAACTTTAAAATATCTTAACTACAGTATTAAACTAAATAAACATTTTTTATTTCAATTTATAGTTATAGAATTACAGTAAATTAAAAATATTTTATCAATTTAATAGTTTTTGAATATTTTAATTTAAAAAAAATTACTAAAAATCATTTGGTTGATTTTACTAACACTCTCCATATTGACGGGATATGAAAATCTGTAATTCATTTCACTCATTGTCATCGCAATGATATAAGATTTAGGGATACATATCACTGCGATGACAATGAGTGAAATGATTTATAGGTTTTCATATCTCATCACTTATATATATATTATTGTTTTCTAAGTACATAAAGACAAACTTGCTTACTGACTTATACTGTATTAAATAATCTATTAATTGATACCAGGGTGTTTAATACCGGGATGCTTCCTAAAAACCAAGCATTCTCTACATAAAATGCTCAAACCTCAAAAACACTGCTAACTAAAATTTAAACCTTTATATAAAACCTTAATCTTATTCTAAACCTGCACCCTAACTCTAAATTTTAATAGGAAAATTATTATATTGTAAAATAACAATGTTCTAATATTTAATTTTTGCAATGCAATTTCAGCAACAAAAAATAATTAAATATTTATAATAGTTTATTAAATTATATTTATGTATCATTCTCTTTTAAATACACTTCTATATAATAAATTTTCTTTTGCTTTGAATGATATATTCAATGCAGGGTCTAATTTTTTTGATTCTTCCATAAATGACAATCCCCCCACTCCCATATATGCATGCATTACATCTTAAAAAGAAGAAAATGCAACTTAAGTATTAGTATCTAGAAAAAACAGTAATTACTATAAACGTTTATTACCGGGATAATATCCAGGACATTTTGAGAATCCACCAATTGGTGATTTAGTTTCCATTAAAAATTTATAATTCTGTTCATAATCAATAAATTCAAAAGAATCTAATATCTTATGTTTATAGTAAGAGTGATTAGCTTATAAATAATCATAAAATGTATTTATGGAATCATTCATTAGTAAATAAAAATGCAAACCATTAACGATGCACCAATCCAAAATGAATAGCATGTATCAGGTGGTTTATTGGCTCGTCCTTGAAACCCACTTTCTTGGCGTGATATAAGCCAGAATATTGTTTTATCTTTTGACCCTCCTATGTGAGTTTTAATTAGTTACAGAATGCTTTGTTAATTATACCATTAAAGATCGATAGACATACCATGTGACTCTTCGCCAGGTCCTTGACCAATACCGTAGTCATATGACTTCGTCCATAAACAAAATTCAATAATGAATATAATGGCAAGGAAATTCAAGCATTATAAAAGTTAGATACCTGACTTTCTTTTATATATTGAACAACTTTATCTATGTTAATCCCACTGAAATCGTCCAATATATATGATATGGCACATGCACAATACACAAACCGCATGTCACATTCCATGCCTAG